TAGGGCATGCCCTCCACCCTTGTGGTTGACTCGGGACTCTTCTGGCCCAAATATTTTGCTTCGCTGGCTTCTTCTGGTCCATAAAAAATCACCGTAAATTTTCAGGTCATTTGGACTCCGTTTGGTATTCCTTTTCTGTAAAACTCAAAAACAAGGAAAAAACAGAAACTGGCACTGGGCTCTAGGTTAATAGGTTAGTTCCAAAAATCATAAAAAAAGAATATAAATGCATATAAAACATCCAAGATGGATAATATAATAGCATGGAACAATCAAAAATTATAGATACGTTGGAGACGTATCACCTCCCTCTTTGGTGCGTGGGCAAGGGGTGGAGGGGCGCATCAGCCCCCTTATGGGCTGGTGTGCTTACCCCCTTTGGCCCATAAGGCCCACCTCTTGTCGGTGGCCTCCCGGAACCCCTTCCGGCACTCCGATAAAATACCCGGTACTTCCGAAACCTTTTCGGTGACCTCGTCCTATATATCAATCTTTACCTCCGGACCATTTCGGAGCTCCTCGTCATGTCTGTAATCTCATCCGGGACTCCGAACAACCTTTAGTCATCAACTCACATAACTCATATAACACCATATCATCAATGAACGTTAAGCGTGCGGACCCTATACGGGTTCGAGAACTATGTAGACATGATCGAGACACCTCTTTGGTCAATAACCAATAGCGGAACCTGGATGCCCATATTGGTTCCTACATATTCCACGAGGATCTTTATCGGTCGAACCGTTATGACAACATACTAATTCCCTTTGTCTGTCCGTATGTTACTTGCCCGAGATTCAATCGTCGGTATCTCCATACCTAGTTCAATCTCGTTACTGGCACGTCTCTTTACTCATTCCATAATACATCATCTGTAACTAACTCCTTAGTCATTTTGCTTGCAAGCTTATTATGATGTGTATTACCGAGAGGGCCCAGAGATACCTCTCCGATACTCTATGTGACAAATCTCAATCTCGATACATGCCAAATCAACAGACACCCTTGGAGATACATGTAGAGCATCTTTATGATCACCCAGTTACGTTGTGACATTGATAGCACACATGGTATTCCTCCGGTATTCGAGAGTTGCATAATCTCTTGGTCGAAGGAACATGTATGTGACATTCAAGGAAGCAGTAGCAATAAACTGAATGATCATATGCTAAGCTAACAGACGGGTCTTGTCCATTACATCATTCTCCTAATGATGTGATCCCGTTATCAAATGACAACTTATGTATATGGCTAGGAAACCTTAACCATCTTTTGATCAACGAGCTAGTCTAGTAGATGCTCACTAGGGACACAGTATTTGTTTATGTATCTACACATGTATTCAAGTTTCCGGTCAATACAATTCTAGCATGAATAATAAACCTTTATCATGATTAAGGAAATATAATAATTACCATTTTATTATTGCCTCTAGGGCATATTTCCAACAAATACGTCAACCACACATTCACGCATGTTACATCTTATTATCATGTGCTCCCAATGATTTTAAAAAGCCACCCGTTCACATTTACTCCGCATACAAGATTTGTTTTGAATTAAAACTACATACAGCGTGACAAAAAAATTATTTAAGAAAATCTACACTTACAATACTACAAAGTTATATATGAAAGTTAGTTGCATGGTGCATCCAATGATATTTGTTTCGTATTGTGAATATTCATATTTTTCTCCTACAAAATTAGTCACTGTAAAGAGAAACGAAGGGCATATCTCTCTTTCTCCATTGCACACACCCTCTCTCTACACCCCTTTTACATATGCACACGAACTATCTCTCAGCCCTCTAAAAGTATGCCCCGACACATTCACGCATGACGATCATTGTATTTCAAGCGAAAGCACAATACGGTCAGTGGACTCCAGAATACGCCCATTATGGTCACCATATACATTTTGTGGTGATTATATGGTCATTAGCTCGCTGCACTGCTTCGTATTTTATTGATGACTCTGACGGTAATTGTATTTAAAGAGAAAGCACGATACGATCACTGGACTTCAGAATAAGCTCATTACAATCACCATATACATTTTGTGGTGATTATACGGTCACTGGCTCATCGTACAACCCTGTATTTTGTTGATGACATGATCAATTGACCAGTCAAACAGTCCACATGGCGCAACTAGTGTTGCATCATCAGCGCACATTATCTCCCTATCATAGGGCCCACCCATCAGCGGGTATAAGAAAGAATGAAATGGTAATAAATTAGTGCTCGGTGGGGATTCGAAGTCGAGACCTCGGGGAAGTCGAGACCTCAGGTTGGCAGCCGACGCACGCTAACCATAGTGGACAAGGTCGCCTAGTGATGATACTAGAGGTTGGGGCGCCACCGGTGGCGCCGCCTGAGCGGTGACTCTGCGGTGCCAGGTATGCCTTCGCCCATTCAGCTACTTTTTTCACCTCTTGTTAGCACATACACACAACAATGGTGAGCTCTTTGATCCAAAGAGAAAAGCATTACAAGCAATGCAAATGAATCTCGTCTCTTTCCATACAAGTGAAACTGTAGCACATCACTAACAAACTGCAGCTTAGCTGCTTTTCGGGTGTGGATAAGTAAAAGTGTTACAGGAGCGTTTACGGACTGACAGCTCCACAATTTTTTACTCCCTGCTCGGCGTCCAACACCCTCACCTAAAGGAGATGCAAGGCAATATCAGGACAGGAAGGGCAGCGGCTGCTCGCCGGAGCAGGACCAGCCGATGTGCGTGACTGGAGCCACCGGCTACATCATCCAGTGGCTCGACCACACCCGCTTCGGCAGGGCCACCGTGTCCACGCCACGGCGTGGGACCCAGATGCACCAATATTGAAAACCAATCAATAATGGAACATGTTCAATTGTGTAGCAAACCTGCAATGTACCAAATATGATAAAAACTGGTATCAACCCAATTATTTTCCTTATAGAAACTTCCAAGTAAGGTGAAAGTCTTTTGTACATGATAATATTGCACCTTCTGTCCGTCCTTTCCTCTCTTCTAATGGCCATTCATTATAAATCCTTGTCACGGATGATGCTACTGATCAGAAAGATATTAATCTCACACGAAGTTCCTTCTCTTCAAATGTCCAACGTTTGACCAATCCAGCACAAAGAATGATGATGCTAGTTGCTAGCATAGATCTACTTTATCAGACTGAACAATTTTTCAGTTGTTAATCTCTGAAAATGCAGAATGCTTGTTCTGAAACATAGAACTTGTGTGGTGTTGCTCCGTACAGGAATTACTTGTATGCATTCCTAAATAGTGGACAGGTGGTAGCTAGACCGAAGCTCGCTTGTGAAACATCAATCATAAACATGTAGATGACCATGGTTTAACCAGTGAAGGGGCTAAAATTCAGTAGCCCAAATTAGGATTACACTTGACCTTTTCTATAGAGAAACCTAGGTACTGTAGTAGCATATGTTTAGGTTAGCAGGTCGTAGCAAATGCAAAATCATGCTCAGTAAAGCCATGTATAGATGTATGCTAGTTACATTAGCACATACATACATGGAGAGAATTAATTTACCAATAATGTCAACTGCTACCTTCTGCCTTTAATTGTAACTGAAAAAGCTCTGCTCTGAAAGTATGGTTGTGATCAATCACCTGTTCCGGTGTCTTTTTCTTCTCAAACTTGAAAAAAAAACATGTGATTTTGCTCAACCTGGCCATCATAAAACCAAAATACATCCACCAATCATGTCTTTAAAGCAAAAGAGCACCCTCCCAATCAAATCTGCTACAGCAGAAAGGAACATACACTACATAAGAACTTGGAAGAAGGAACAAATTAATTAGGCCAAGAACCATATCTTACAGCAGGCCAAGTAAAAGGGTGTAGTCGTGTTGGACGCCATAGCAGGAAAGCGGACCACCACCAATATGCGGTACCATGACATGACCATGCTCTTCACCTACAGCACAGTCGTCGCGCCGTCCTCCTCGATCTGCGGGGCTTCCCTCCTCGCCGTCAAGCCGATGGTATATATATTTGTTAAAACACCATGAGAATATTAGTAAGTGGGCTTATTCATTGAAACAGATAAATAGATAAGTAATAATCGCTTCAACTTTGAATGGAAGTCAAAGGTAAGGTACTGATTAACATCCTACAAGATGATAATCACAAATAGGAATAGCTACACACACACAGAGAGAGAGACCATGAGAATATTAGTAAGTGGGCTTCAACCCAAAGGCATTTTTTCTTGCATCAATATTGGAATCCACTGCACTGATTGCCTTCTCTGTATGTCTTTAGGATATTTGCTAGCACTGAAATCTATAGGGAAAATTTTATGACGCAGACTATGACAGAAAAGCATGAAGCACAGTAAAACATAATTAGCTCACCGCTTCGTATGATCTCAGGTCAGTGTCATACTCTGATCTTCTTTAATTCCAAAGGCAAATGCTTCTGCAAAAAATTATCATTGAAGCAATCATATCAGAAATTCGTGAAACTGATTTGTAGTGTGTACAGCAAGAACAAGGAAAAAGGGAACATAAATGGGCATAGAATGCGTAGGCCATAGGATGGTCAGGACCAGTTTTAGCACCAGCAATCCCATCCATCTCAGAGAATGGATCATGCATACGTATGCAATCTAAAGATTAAAAGGATCATATGCATTTGAAGCTGCAATTCCCATATCAAATAATGGATTTGCAAGTTTCCCTAAATACCAAGCAAAAAAAATTGGTTTTGTCAAAGCAAGATATAGAATGAGTAAAGCAATTCATATGTTCAAGAAAGGAAAATACCAGACTGACTACACAAGCATGGTATAAACTTCGTCGTTGCAAATTTGTGTTGATGCTCCTGTAAGGCTGTAACTTCAAACATCAAGTCATGTTGCATTTTCTCAACGCATTCCCAGCAACTGTCCAGGACGGAAGTCATGCTACATATCAAGATTCCATCACATAAATCAACAAAAACCTAAAACCTACAGAAAGATCAAACGTAATTAGTTCGGAGAGCACTCTGAAATTTGATATGGAATGTCATCAGAGACAGTGCATACAGAACCTGCATATGGGCCAGTATAGGGTCTGTATTGGCACTCTGATTCATGTTTTAACTTGCAATAATAAGGATACATTCCCAAGCATCCAAAGTTCTGGAACTTGGACATAAAGTCTAGAGAGACGCCAACCTTCTCCAAAGCAAGGCATCTTATGTTACCCAATTCACTCCTGCAAGTTGGGCGACCATTATGAACCCTTGGCTTGCATTCAGAACAAATGGTTTGACCATTGGAGCACTGCATGCAGAAATGTGACAAAATAGTTAAAGTAGCTCTAGAGTCTAAACACATTCATAAATTTCTTTCTGAGCTTAAGAATATGTAGTGTAAATTCAAAATAGTCATGAGATATCAGACCCTCCTAGTAGAATAATTTCACAAGGAACACTCTCAACAACGTTGAAATTAAAAAAGGAGGGTGCTGCAATCTGTAAGTCCAAAATGTTTGCAGGGAGCTAGTCAGAGGTCGGCGTGATGCATGGGGTGGTTAACAGAAAGGAAGGGATGTCACCTATTAGTGTGAAAGTGATTCATAGAAAAAGGTTACAAACCAAAACCCTATTTTAGCTTTGCCTACCTTGGTCGGCAATTTCATATTCTTTTGCAACTGGATATTCTAATATATCAGCATACACATAGAAAGCCAAAAGCCTAGAATAAGGCTAGTATGATGCAACCGAGATGCTATAGTTAAATGTGATTAGTTCAGCAAGAAGACATACCCGATGAATTGGAGGATACATGGGAACCAAACACACAGGGCATTCCAATAGCTCATGCACATTTGTAGAAACTATGAGTCTATGACATTTGGTTTCCCTGAATGCTCGATAACATCACCGACGAGTTCTGTGACATTTGAATATCCCATTCTTTGGAGGCTCGATAACTTCAGCACCAATGTTGCCAAGATAGGCAGTCGATGTCGCGACCAAACTTATAGATAAAATCATGTATGGATGAGAAATATTTAGGCTTGGAAGCAAATAGCAAGATAACATGATTTAATCCTGGGTGCAAAAAATGCCATGTCAAGCTCAAAGGATGGCTGGAACCTGATATAACTCTCAAGACAAGTATTATCATTAACATCACATCACCGGCGGTACATAAAACTGATACATCAACCTGATAACATGAATTAAATAAAGGATCTATCATGAGTACTTTTACCCACTATACAGAGAACATTTCTCTCTGTCAAATAAGTAACCTCATAGTAGATTAAATAGATTTTTGGAAGAAAAACTTGATCCAGTCCATGGGGTACCACGGAATAAAATTGTTGGGGTACTAAAAAAAACCATTGATTTCAGCAAACATCATTCCTCGAAGTGAGGAATATTCAGTCCAAAACTACATCAAGTCACAATAGCAGTCTTCCATCCATTTGCAACAAATCAGTGTTATGATCAATACAAACATCAAATGGAAGGAACACATGATCGAGTTCAAGCAGAGGCAGAGTTGGATCGTCCGCATGGACATGAACAGGATCTGCCACAGTCTACACTCTACAAGATTGAAATTAAATCATGTCGATGTGAAAATCAAACTCCAACTGAGCATTGCATGTAGATTTTTACATTATTTTGCATTGTGGTAAGTACAATCAGGAATTGGTTGATTCTTGCTTATTTCTAATCGATGAACAAAATCTTATAGTTCAAGTTTCATCATCAGAACTCAAGTTAAAGAAGGTCCTTGCTAGAAAATCCTGTGTATGCTCCACAGTTTTATCATGGTCAACTAAGATCAACCATCCAATCATACGTAATCGTGTTTAGAGCTAACAGATTACTAATCTTCAATTCTTGATCCCCTTAATCTGAACTATAACAATCCGATTACAGCTGCAGTGTCGAAATAGAACCTTTCAGATGGTCACCGGGCAACATAATCAACAGGTAGAATTTCAATTCAGTAGCAATTTTTCATTTTAGACAGATTCATGGACCATGATTCAGCTACTAAACCAACTTCGAAACCCTAGTGAAGCCACATACCGTCAAGAAGGCCGCTGCCTGGGAGGAGGGGCCGAGTGAAGCCACATATGGCGTCATAACCGTCGCCAAGGAGCTAGCAGCACCAGTACAGGAAGAAAATGGGGATCCTGGCGACGGCGTAAGTCGTGTGTGAGGGAGATGGAGGGTAGCAACGTCGCAAGCTTCCTGTGAATCTACGGTTGAAAGCATCAAGCGGGCCACCCGCACTCGCCGGCGCATCCATGGGTCATTGGAGCTCAGCGTCTCTCCGAGCCGTGCGAGGCATAGGCGGGAGTCCCGCTGCTCCGACCCGCATCCACTAGCTGGCCACAAACATTCTCGTCCCATCCTGCATGGTCGGGCTGGTGAAGAGAGAGGAGATGAGGCGAGCGAGGCTGATGACGGCCGATGGATCAGGGCGCTATCGAGAGAAAAGGGTGAGACGAGAGAGAAAAGGGTGCTCACCTCGGGGAACCCGTGGAGATGCCTCCTCCGCGCGTGGAGGTTGTCCGGCGACGCCGCTGAGGAGGCCGCCGCCACGAGGCCCACAACCACCCCGAGCCTCCTACACCAGATGCCGATCTAGTCGAGGTTGGTGGCAAAACGAGTGCGGGGCAGAGACGCGGGCGAGGAGGGATGGTCGCTGGTCGGGAGTTGCTTCACCAGTTGCTGGATCGGGCAGCCGCCTCCAGCAACGAGGCACACACAGATCGAAATCGCCGCCACCCGCGCGCAACCCCTCCGCCGGATATGGAGTGCTGGCGCTCGAATCCCTGTCGCCAAGCTCGAGTTCGTCATTCCCCCACTCGTGGAGATGTCGAGGAGAAGGAGGGGAAGAGGCGAGGAAGTGGAGGCAAAGGTTGCGTGTGCGAGGAGAGGAAGACGAAAGTGAGGAGAGGGGGCGGCCGTATACGGACAGGCTAATCTGAGGATAATATATCTGCCTCCCCTATTCTTTTCTAGCCAATACGCGTGCGCGCTCAACAGTACAGCTTGCCGACGTGGCATGCGCGAGCATCCGCCCCTTGCGCGACTGTTATTGGGGTAAATGTTGAGCCAACCCTTTTAATACACATGAGCTACTATGGTGAATACACACATCACACAAGTACGCACGCAACGCCCGCATGCATGCATGCAATACTCACATGTACACATGCACAAACAATACTCGCATAAACAAACCTACGCGTGCATGCACGCACGCAACGCTCGCACGAACACACGCAAGAATGCATGCATGCAACACTCGCATATACACATGCACAGACACAACACTCGCACGAACACATGCATGCATGTACGCACGCCTCACACGACGCAACACATACGTTCACGCTTGCTCAACCTACACATAGCCAGAATGGTTCGTCCACAAGGACTAGTTCCGCGGGGTCTCATGTTCGAATCTACCGTGCCTACGTAATTTTTTTACCAACTGACAGGCCCGCAAACCACGTGGTCGATTTGACCAGTCAATACAGTGCCACGTACACTTTTTAATCGGTCAACTGAGTGCAATTTGTAATTACGATTTTCACATCTGTATTGTGCCGACGGGTTTCGGATGTTCACTCCCACCTCGCGCGCGCGTGAGAAGCTAGTCGACCGGCTTAAATAGTCGAGTCATCTAGAAGCGACAAGTTACAGTCATCATTGCATCCTTTATTAAGGACATGGATTGTTACTATTAATCTTTTTTGTGATAAGCAAAACATTAATGTTTGCACCTTTCTTTTTGAATCACAATGTGTCAAACAGGTTATCAATGTATATGAATAGTTCAAAAAAAAACTTAACACTCGATGAACAATCATCAGTTTGTGAGTTGGTCTGCGTCAGGCTCGCGCGGCGAGGTGAGACAAAAAACCAGCTCGGGCGAGCTTGTCTCCTCTAAGAGAGGAAAGAGCTTCGGCTGGCAGCAGGTGGGACCGCTATGTGTTGGAGCGGGGTGCCCGGTCGTGTCCGGTCGTCCCTACATTTGGTCTCGATTTGAGGGGTGCTGGTCAGTCCGGACGTTTAGGGACTAAGTGGGTGGTCCGGCTGGGTGAACTTTTTTGGTCGCGCACTGACCCAGCGAACGTTGCAGACGTTTAAGGAGGAAATAGGACGCTCAGGGACAAGTTTAGAAGGAAAAAGACGGTACAATTACAACACGCCTGTCACATTCGCGTCCAACCCGAGACGGTTGGTCAGGCACGCTGCTCACCCAAGGAAACGTGTGTCTTGTGTTTTCATTAACACGTGGGACAACATGTGAGCAAACCGACGATAGGCAGATTCTCACGCCTATCGCGCGTCGGCTGAGTTATTATAAGAGAGAGTAGGCTGCTCAGAAAAGAGAGAGAGAGGAGGTAGAAGAGATAAAGGGTCGAGTTTAGATATACATGGAATCCAAGAAATTGGTGAGAGCGTAAAGTGGGTCATATGTTAATACAGTACTACATTCGTCCTTGTATGTTGATCCCCTTTGTATTTTATGTCCAATTTTGATTATATTTAACTATAAAAAGTATCACTAAAAATTATATCGCTGAATTTGTATTTGAACATAGATTCTCATGGTATAGGTCTTTATGAAATGCAATGATAGTTTATTAGTTAAATATATAGTCAAAATTTAACACTACAAAGGGAACAATCAATCAGGATAGAGGTAGTACTATGGGTGAACCCCTGAATTGCATCGTCTCCCCTTCCTTTCAGCTAAATTTCATGTTTTGACCCTTTTGCGAAACTTGATCGAGATCTGACCCTGCTTTTCAAAAATTTCGGATTCTGACCCTTTTCTTACCGCCAGGGTCCATGGCGGTAGGTTATAACAGCCTACCGCCAAGGTCCTTGGCTGTAGGGTTGCATGCCTTGCTGCAAAATTTTCCTAAGTATGAACACAGTGCGCTCTCGCGCCTACCGCCGGGCACCTTGGCGGTAGGATTGTACAGACTACCACCAGCCTGTTTTGACGGTAGGGATGTTTCCTACCACCAAGATCCTTGGCAGTAGGTTGTTAAAGCATCTCCAGCCGCGCCCCCAACACGGCCTCCCCAGGCGATTTTTTCGCGCCGGTGGCGAAAAAACGGCCCTGTCGCGCCCCAGGAGCCCGTTTTTCATCGGCTTGGGTCAAAATCAGCGCCGGTGGACCCAGGGCGAACCTGACGCGTCGGGGGGCGCCCGGGGGCACCGGGGCGAGTTTTTTGGCGCGAAACAGCCGCGGACCCGTCGAGTCAGTGAGGCGGCCGCTTCGTCGCCCTCATCGCCTCGATTCCCATGGGAATCAATGCCAAGGCTGCCGCGCCGGTCAGCCTCCATTGATGCCTCATGGGCGGCACAGTGAAGACGCCACCGAGGCGCGTTCCGTCCGCTCCCACCACACGTCCTCCCGCATGTCGCCTCCCCGCCGCCCCGCTTCGGCTATAAAAGGCGTCCACTCCCCGCATGTGAGCGCCACAGCCTCCCCCCTCTTCCTCTCGCAAAAGCCTTCACCCCCGCCGGCGAGTGCCACTGCCTCACCCCCCTCCCATCCCACCACGAGCAAAAGCATGGCCGAGAGGTTCCCAAGCGACAGCGCAGCGGCGAACGGCTTCGGCCACCGACACCTCCAAGAGCCGGAGGCACGCCTCCTTTACGAGGCCGAGTACCCGGCGCCCCCCGACATGCGCGTGCCGGGGGCGTGGAGACTGAGCGCCGACAGCGTCCCGGTGCCGTCGGTGCCCGAAGGGGCGGCACAGCGAGCGGAGATCGCCCGCGTCCGCTCCTCC